CTCAGGGTGCCTTAAGGGCAGATCATGCAAGGCATCAGGTTCTGGGGATCGAACAACAGAATCCTGAGCCTGACTGCTTTGCTTAAGCAGGCACTTAAAACAACTGAGCTAATGGGCAGGGCCCAAAGATTTGAGATTTAACTATCTTGACCCTTTCCTTTTATAGACAGAGCCTATAGCACTGGAAGGCCAACACATTTAAAGTGTTATTTAAAAACAGAAGCATGCCCAACCTCAAATTTGGTGATAAAGGCGCACTGGTTCAAATCTGATACAATACTGAAATCCAAGTATGATGTACCCCACCCCATACTGGGGATCACACTCAGGACCTTGTGCTTTCCACGCAGGTTCTTATGCTGCTGAGCCATCTCCCCAGTCCTCAATACCGAAATCCTGCAAGCTCATAAAAAACCTAATGACTTTGTTTCCTCATTTCAAGGACCAAATAGCTAAATTAAAGTTCACAAGGAACTCACACAAAGCTAGCTACTTTTCTTTTCTTTTCTTTTCTTTTCTTTTCTTTTCTTTTCTTTTCTTTTCTTTTCTTTCTTTCTTTCTTTCTTTCTTTCTTTCTTTCTTTTTTTGGGTATTTAGTACAGGGTTTACAGGGTCTCACTACACAGATCGGATTTATAGTGAGTTTTTCAGCCTTCCAAGCGCTGGGATTATACATACTGTGACACCACACCCAGTCTTAATCACTGTCTCAGCACACTGGGGGGGGGGGGGCTGGCACAGCAGGCCAGGGATCCAACTCACAGCCCCTGCCTCTGCCTAAGCAGCTGCTTTAATCTGCTGAGCTATCTGGCTGGCCCCTAAAGCTAGCTACTTCAAAATACTGCATCTGGACTAAAGCTAGTACAGATTAACAATTTACTCATTGATTAGACCCAAATGTTTAATGATTTTTTGCACACTCAAAGGCCCATCAGGGAAAAAAAAAAAAAGCCAGCTGTGGTGGCATGTTTGTAACCCTAGTACTAAAGAGGCTACAGGAGGAGGAATACTGTGAATTTAAGGTCTCCCTAGGCTACACAATGAGCTCAAGGCCATCTTGAACTACACAAGCAGACTCTGTCTCAAAACAAAAGAAAAATCAAAATCCCCCACAAAAGAAAACAAAACTCCAAAGCAACAAAAAACCCCAAGAAAGCTAAAATTAACAGATCCTCTGTCCCCTACCCCCCACTCAACATTAAGTGCTATGAAGAATGAAGAGTGCCTGGTGTGGTAGCAAATGCCTATAATCCCAGCACTGAGGAGGCTGATAAATTCCCCAGCCTGGGCTACGTAGTGAATTTAAGGCCAATATAAATTATATACTGAGACCCTGTCTTAAAAAAACAAAAACAACAGTGTAATTGGAATTTTAATCTATTGATTGTGGAAACATAAAGTAATAGAATCATTTTGGAAAATTGTCAGTATCTACTACAGCTAAGTAAATGCCCTATAGTCCAGTATTTCCACTGTCAGGTATGTTCCTAAGAGAAATAAGTGTGTACATTCACCAACAGATACATATGCGAATGTTCAGAGTAGCTTTACTAAAAAAACTGGCCCAAAAATGAAAGCAACCTAACCGTGCATTGACAGAAAAACAGATAAACAAACTGAAGTCACACACTCAAAGTTCATTCTACAATGAAATATTATATAGCAATAAACTATCACTAAATACAACATAATAATATACAGGAATGTCACAGTCAATGCTGAGGAAAAAAAGTCAGGCACAAGGATACAGGGTAAGATTTCGTTTATGATGGCTGAGCATAGGAAAAAACTAATCTATGCTGGTATAAATTATAATACGGTTACCCTGAAGTAACAGTATGGCAGAGATTAGGAAGGGGCATCATGGAATATTCTAGAGTGCTAGAAAACTTATAAACCTCCATCTGAGTGTGATTACAAGGGTATACAGGTGTTTTTAACACAGAAATCAAACAGTATACTTGAGTGTGATATACCTCACTATAGGTATAGTATACCTTAACTTACAAAAGGAACAGAACAAAAATGGAAACATAATAATAACACTACATAGGCTCAGGGAAAGTAAAAAGCATGTAAGACCACACAAGTGTGACTCTATTAATGTAAACAAACATCTTTGATGAGCAGATTTTCTCTTGTCAACACTGTTAACTAAAATTGTTTAGACTTTTTGGTCTTCTCAGATATAATAGCAAATAAGAAACCTGAATGCTGAAAAGATGGAGATGTACTACATGATGTAGAAAGATTTTAAAAAATTGTTTAATGAGCACTTGTGAGGCATTGTGATTAAATATATGACTAAAGAATATGATCCTTTAATGATAGACAAATAGAGGAAACGTCAGGAGAAAGCAGCCAAAAATGTGCAAAAAGAGGCCAATTAGGAGGGGCAGAGCCATACTCTTGAACCAGTTCTCTAATGTATGCTAAGAAATTGTCCTGTTTCAACATATTATTTGTCTGCACAGGGACACTTTAAATAATTAAATGTGAGCCACACTTGAGTACAGAGCAGAAATATTTAAAAATATATTCATTTGGCTCCAGAATGGTAATGAAATGTTTACACAGTAGTCTCCCTTATCTGCAGTTTCCCTGTAACGTGTTGTCCATGGTCAATAGGAGAGATGGTGATTTATTTTTTGTACTGGGGATTGAACTCAGTACCTTGTGCTTGCCAGGAAGACATTTATGCCACTGAGCCCAGAGTATGATTCTGAGAGAACACAGTATACTGTTGTAATTGCTCAATTTTAATACTGGCTATTATTGTTAATCTCTTAATAACCTAACTTACAAATTATACTACATAGGTCAACTGTGGAGGATAATACACAGTATATATGTCAAATTCATATTATTCTGTTTAGTGAAATTTTGTATCATTTCTAATTTTTTATTATTACTATTTTGTATTCTTTTTAAAAAATGAAAAAAATACTAAAAAGAAAACCCATAGCACAGAGAGGGCCCAGCCGTATGCATCCTAGTAAGCGGCCACTCTGTGTCCACAGAAGTGGTTCACACCCTACTCCACAGGGCTTACTCTCCCGTGCACTTGAGAATTCTGAACAGTTCTTCTAAAATCTAAAAATCATCTTAAATATATAGTGCTATTCAAATCTCTTGGCCATTCTATCAGATGATATAGTTTTCCTTTAGGGTCTTGTTCAAATTGAATGATCTCCAAACACTGCAAGCAACAAAACTTTCTGATGGATAAGGTCTGAGTGACGTGTAGCATGGTATACAACTGAGGTGACATACAGAGCAGACAAAAATTCCTTTAACTCTGTTACTTAACACTTTGGACAAGTTTCTGGGTTTAGTTTCTTTCTCTACAAAATGATGGCACTGGAACAAAACTAAATTTTCTAAGGTATATTTTCACTTCTGACATTTTACTAATGTGGAACTACAAATGTAAGTTTTCCTACTAAGAAAACCTAGTGAGCCATATTTCATGCAATAGTATTCAGCCATACTCCACACTAAAAACTAAAAGTTCATACTGTTAACATTATTATCAGTCCTGCTGATTAAATAGAGGTGGGAAAACAGGAACAAAGGGCAAACATGCAAATAATAAAATATCTGCTAAATGATATCACCCTGGGTATGGGAAGAAACACATGGTTATGAGTGCAGTAAGTAGATGTTTAACATCAACTGTTAAAATGAGCTCATATAACTTAAATACAGTTTCATATATTACACACTAAAGGTGAGCAATGCTAAATAGTTCACCATTTCTATTCCAAAGCACTAATACCATCATAAAAATATTGCTAAAATCACTCACAAAAGCATGCTGTATAGTAACTAAATAACTAACTTAGGAAAATGGATTTCCGATTTCCACAATGTCAGAGAATTAGTGGTATCTGGTACTTCTATCAACTCAATGAACTCTTTTCTACAACTTACATAAATGTTTAAATGCTAGATTAAATGTTTAGATTAAATGTTTTTAATATTAAACATAAAAATTAAATACAATCTTACTATTTTTAAAAGGAAAAAGCCAACTAGTCTTACCTTATCCAGTCTCTTTTGCCAGCTGTCCTCACGTTTTACCATTAATTCAATACAATGAGAAAGTGTAGCAAGGATTCCAGCAGTAGTTGCCTTGAAGGTTATTGCTTCCCCTTTAAAATCTATGCCATTGATTCCTTTCAGTGTTACATGTGGAAATACTGAAAAAGAAAGTTGTTCACTGAAAAGCTTTCAAATGAAGAAATTCATAATTTAAGATGAGAGAAATTTTATTTTTCTCCTGCAAGTTAACATTTAAAGTATCTCCTCTCCGCTCTATGAGCAGGGCGTGGTGCCTTCAACTCCTTTTTTCCAGACTTTGCTTCCTGAAATCTATTTGCTATGCTGCACCCAGTGAATCAAGGGGTAGGAGGAGTAATCCTGTAACAATACCATTCTGATAGCTTAGAGAGGACCTACTAATAGCAAGAACCACTTCATATTTTAAGAAATCCTGAATTTAAAAGTATCCAAAGGTAAACTGTAGAATTTTACAAAGACATACAAAACGTATATTGCCATAATGTCTCTCAAGTAATGGCTTTTTTTTTTTTTTAAGGGTAATAAATTGGGAAAAAAAAAGACAAGAATAAGAAAAAATAATGTCACAGGTTACAATTCTGGAATAAGGAATTTTTTTTTTTTTTTTTTTTGCTCCTTGAATGCCTTC